CACCACATAAGCAAAAAGAAAAAAGCCGGAAGTGGCGCTGTGGCTCAAGTGGTAGAGTGCTAGCCTTGAGCTGAAGAGTTGAGGGACACTGCCCAGGTCCAGAGTTCAAGCCCCATGACCAGACCCCCCAAAAAAAAAATCTATCCAGAACCTAACCATGTCATTGCTTTTGTCATCATCTCACTCTGTCTACTTACCCTCTACATAAAAAAAAATCCCTCTGTTTCCAAATCTACCTCTCCACATGTATTCCACAGAGCAAGCAAGTGGATCACCTACAACTTCAGATCATCACATGTCTCTGCTCAAAACTGCTAAGGCTTCCAGCAAAGTCCAAATCCATGAACTGTTTCAATAGACCCTTGGTTATCAGGAGACCTTGCCATCTCCTGACCTCTGTCATTCTCCCACCGCTGGCCTTCTTACTGTCCTTGCTGCAAACATACTTCTGTCTCAGGGTTTTTGCACAAACTGTTTCAGATGCCTAGAAAACTCTTCTTTTAAATATTCACATAGCTCCTTTATTACACATTACAGTTTTCTGCTCAGATGTATTCTTATTACCAAAGCTCTTCCTAACCATCTTGAAGTCAGTAGTAATAAACTCCTACACTGCCAATCTATCCCATCAAATCCTTTTGTTAGTCATAGGGATTGAACTCAGGGCCTGGGCCCTGTCTCTGAGCTTTTACCCTTAGCACTCTACCACTTCGAGGCACAGGTTCCACTTCTGGTTTTTTAGTGGTTAATGGGAGATAAGACTCTTGGGCTGGGAAGGTGGCTCAGTGGTAGAGTGCTTGCCTTGCATGCCTGAGGCCCTGGGTTCGATTCCTCAGCACCACATAAGCAAAAAGAAAAAAAAGCCGGAAGTAGCACTGTGGCTGAGGTGGTAGAGCGCTAGCCTTGAGCTGAGGGATGGTGCCCAGGCCCAGAGTTCAGGCCCCATGACCGGACCAAAGAAAAAAAAAAAAAAAGAGTCTTATGGACTTTCTTGTCCAAGCTGGCTTTGAACTTCAGTCTTCAGATTTCAGCCTGGGATTACAGGATTGAGCCACCAATACCTGGTTCCAATAACTTTTAATCATGTACAAAATGGTGTGTTTACTAATACTAACTCAGTCCCTAAAAATAGGATTTCTATGAAGTCAGAAATTGCTTTGTTTGTTCACTACTTTATCCACACCATCTAGAAACACCATGCTATAACATCTACCAAAGAATGAAGGACAAACCAACAACAACAAACAACAACCAAAAGCAGAGTACAGAGGCTAGCAAGATGACTACATCCTTTTCCCCACAAATATACCTCAGTGCAGAGTCAGTGGCATGTGCAGCTGTTGTTGTAATGACAGGAGACTGGGCTCGGGTGGCTGAGACAGTTGCTACTACAGCAGGGGGGATTGTACTAGAGGTGGTCACAGGTGGCCGAGACTGCAAAGGGAAGAAAGAAAACATTGAATTTAAAACAAAAGGCAGAGTCGGGTGCCGGTGGCTCACACCTATAATCCTAGTCACCAGAAAACTGGAAGTGGTACTGTGGCTCAAATGGTAGAGCACTCACCGTGAGCTGAAGAGCTGAGGGATAACACCCAAGCCCACAGTTCAAACCCCAGGACCAGCCAAAAAAATAAATTAATTTTAAAAAAAAAGGCAAAACATCCCGATAGCCAAAAGGAAAACTTGGAAAGTTTTACCTCCTGATGCGTATATCTGTGTCAAATGACAGTAAATCTTCCCCATTCTAAGCATGTTTCCAGATAAATTGTTCTAAGACCAAGAGTTAGAATATGAAAAAATTCTTTTCTCTGTATGCTGGTCTTGGGTTTTGAACTCAGGGCCTCAGAGCTGTCCTTAAATTTTTGGCTCAAGGATAGTGCTCTACCACTTGAGCCACACCTCCATTTCCAGATTTTTAGTGGTTAATCAGAGATAAGAATCTCATGGATTTTTCCTGCCTGGGCTGGCTTTGAACCATGATCCTTACTCGATCTCAGCCTCTTGAATAGTTAGGCTTAGTTGTTAGCTACCAGTGCTCAGCTAAAAATTTCTATTTTCTGGACCAAAAATACTTAAAAGTTGTGGCCAATATTTTGCCAAATGCTAGGGGAATGAGTAACAAAGCTATTGCACTTACTGATTCTAACTTCCCCACAAAAAAATTCCAGAAAAATAAAGTCATTCTAGATACAAAATACTACAAAAGAAACAAGTAAACTGAAGAAAATCACATTAAAGTCAGATTCCATTTTCTTAAATTAATTAGTCTATTTATTAACTAAATTAATCTATTTATTATTAACTCATTGTCCAAAGGGGTTACAATTCCATACATCAGGTAATGAGTACAATGCTTCTTGGTCAATGTCACCTCTCCCTTCATTCTCTTTCATCTCCCCCTCCTGTCTCTACCCTCAAGTTATATCATCCAATTTTAACATAATGTACATCAAATATGAAGACATTTGCTTACTCTTCCTCCCTCTATTCCTGTGCTTCTCCCTTTGCCATTCCCCATGCCAAACATGTTTAGACTTTCTGGCATTCATTTCAATAAATTAGTTTTTCAGGGGAGTTATGCTATTGAATTCCTCCCCTAAGTATACCATCTTTAATAAGTTTGTGTGTTACATGTTATCATGTCTAGGTGTATTTTAGATCTAGCTTACACATATGAGAGAAAAACATGTACCGTTTATCTCTGAGCCTGGCTCACTTCAATTAACTCCAATTGTTCGTGGTCCATCCATTTCCCTGCAAATTACATATAGTACTCTTTCTAATGTATGAGTAAAATTCCATTTATATATGTACCACATTTTTTTATCCCCTTATCCATTTTAGGGCATCTGGGCTGTTTCTACAACTTGGTTATTGTGAATAGCAGCACTGAATATGAATGTGGCAAATGTCTTCACTATATCCTTGAAGTCAGGTTTCATTTTTATTCAACATAATAGAACTGTCTCTATTAGGCCTCAGAATCAAGTTTATCAATAGCATCTAGGAACCTAGATGGTATAGGCAATTTTCACCAGAATCTACACTATTCTCATGTCCTAAGCCAAGTAGTTCAACATGATACCTATACTTTATTCATTTGTTCTCTCTTCCACTAAATGGGAGGCTTTTTTAGGGAGTGCTTATATGTCATGTGAGTTACAAACATTATTATGACCACTAATCTTGGGATGTTCACATATAAGGAATATGGTTGAAGGAATGTATATTTATAACCTACTGTAGAATTTCATGCATTGTACAACATGAGAGTTGATGTTAAGGGTTTAGATAAAACATCTAATTAGGTGGCAAGTTGAATTTAGGAAGAATTATTGCAACAATCAAAATGGAAGAGTTATAAGATTAAAAACAAAATTATATTTTCTTTGGGTAGTAAGTTCCTCCTTTTCAAATATGACTAGAATTAAAATATCGTCTTAACTCTTAGTAGGAACTGAGATTTAATCCTTCATTTCTGAAGTTCCCATGATTTGCCATGGCTCTCAACATAAGACTTTTTTTTTGCTTGTTGGTTGTGGTGCCTCAACTCTGGGCCTGGACGCTGTCCCTCAGCTCTTCAGCTTAAGGCTAGATCTACCACTTGAGCCACACTTGTAGCTTTTTCTGCTTATGTGGTGCTGAGGCCTCATGCATGGATGGCAAGCACTGTACCATTGAGCCACCTTCCCAGCCCAACGTAAGACACTTTACCCTACACCACATAACCAATTACCTTCCACAGAGAGCCCATGAAGCTAATGGATAAAGCTGATGGCCCTAAGCCAGGTGCCAGTGGCTCATGCAGTAATCCTAGCTACTCAGGAGGCTGAGATCTGAGGATCACCATTCAAAGCCAGCCCAGGCAGGAAAGTCTGTGAGACTATCTCCAATAAACCACTAGAAAACCAGAAGTGGCACTGTGGCTCAAGCAGTACAGCGCTCACTGTGAGCTGAAGAGCACAGGGACATCGCCCAAGCCCAAAGAGTTCAAGTCCCAGGACCAACCAAAAAGAAAAAAAGCTGATGGCCCCCAGGCCAAATCAGCATGCAAAAGGCAAAAACAGAGTAACAATATTCTATGTTGGTAATAGAGTCAGTGTGCTCAAAGAAAAGTAACGGCAGGGTACTCAAATTCTTCCCTGTGGTTTTTATACAGATACACAGCCCTAACCTGTATCAGAATATCTATGTACAAAACCTTCATCTACCTAAGCACTGCAGTGGCTCAGACTTGTAATCTAGCTACCCAGGAGGCTGAGATCTGAGGATATGGTTCAAAGTATTCAAGCAGTAAAGTCTGTGGACTCATTACCTCTAATTAACTAGCTAAAAAGCCAGAAGTGGAGACATGGTTCATGTGGTAGAGCATCAGCCTTGAGAAAAAAAATAAAGCCAGAGTATAAGGCCCTGAGTTCAAGCTCTAGTACTGGTAACAAAAAAACAGAAACCTAAACTGGGACAGAGCAACACAAGTGGCAACATTTTTCAAAAAGAAATGTCCTCTTTACCTGATTTATGTAACTGTAAACTTCTGTTCATCACCTTTTAAACAACAATTAAAAAAACAAAAACAAAAACCAACTGGGCGCCGGTGGCTCATGCCTGTAATCCTAGCTACTCAGGAGGCTGAGATCTGAGGATCACGGTTCAAAGCCAGCCCTGGCAGGAAAGTCCGTGAGACTCTTATCTCCAATAAACCACTAGAAAACTGGAAGTGGCGCTGTAGCTCAAGGGATAGAACGCTCACCTTGAGCTGAAGAGTGCAGGGATGGCATGCAAGCCCAGAGCTCAAACCCTATGACCAACAAAAAAACAAAACAAAACAAACCCTCACTTGAAAAATGAGCTCCACCTGAAGACTCATGCACTTCTCCACTGTGACTTTTTTAATAATCTAAGCCCTAATAATTTACTCCTTTCTTTTAATCCTGACACATGCAATTAAATTAATAATCTTTAGCCATTCCTTATCCTGACCTGTATCTCACATAAAAGATTATTTTTTAAGGGCTGGGCAGGTGGCTCAGTGGTAGAGTGCTTGCCTTGCATGCATGAGGCCCTGGGTTCCATTCCTCAGCACCACATAAGCAGAAAAAGCCAGAAGTGGTGCT